GTGGACCTAACGAATTTGGATTATTAACTCAGTCCAACAAGGTATAAATAGGACAAACAAATTTTTTATAACATTTCTTATCCTCGATTTCATTTTATTCATCCTGTGCAGAATAGTACTCTACTATCAATTGACGAATGGAGCTCCAACTGATGTCGCAGTCGTTCAACTTCAGCCAGAGTTCCAGAGTTCACTAGTCTTCCGGATCATAGGCGCCTGACATCGCTTTTCAACGTCTACGTGTTACCCACGTTGCAAAAATACCCATATTATAGGGAATATGGCACTTTTCTGAACCCGATGGTAACCATCTTGGATTTCTGGTCTGTAGACATCACCCCTATTCAAAAATTACCTATATTGATGGATATTTGACAGTATTTCCACTTTTTGTTCAATTGGAAGCCAACATCTTTGATTTAAAAATGACGTCGGATATCGATTGATGGCCTTTAGTATTCATCCCGATTCCAAAAATAATAATTCTGATGGGTGTTCCCAAATTTTCTGAAACCAGAAATCACCATATTGGATTTCCAAATGGTGTTGGATATCAATTTGCGCCTTCCATTCGGGGTGACAAAAATATCCATAGTGATGGGGATGGGACAGTATTTTATACTTTTTCTGAAACCGGAAGCCGCCATTTTTATTTAAAAATGGAGTCGGATATCGATTTACGGCCTCAAAACGTCGCCCCGATTCCAAAAATATCCATATTGATGAGAGTTCGACAGTATTTTCCACTTATTCTTAAAACAGAAGCTGCCATCTTTGATTTTGATTTTTGGCCTCTATTCGTGACCCAAAGTCCAAAAATACCCATATTTATGGACTTTTGGAATTATTTTTCACTTTATATCGATTTCCAGTTGATTGTAGGTTGTAGATTGTAGTAGAGTTGGAAACTTGATCATGTAAACACTATGCAGCATTGTCTGGTAGTTCGTTAAAAAATGCTACAACAATCGTCAAGCTCGCTGTAACGTCACCTAGTGCCTCGTCATCCACGAATTGGCGCCTATGTCAGTAGTCTAATAACTCTTAGCGCGCTGATGGCATGGTTCCAATGCCGCATAGAGAGTTGCTACAATGATATTGGGTTAGCTAAGGTCAGTTAACTGACTGGTGGGGAACGGGAGCTTTAGCTATGGCTATTATGTATGCATTTCTATAACGTTATCTAACAACAATGGTGTGTACTATTTACAAAATCATGTTTGTAATTCTAATGTGTTGTATGGTTGAAAGCATTTGAAAAAGTTAGATTCTAATGTTTTGCACATTTGAAAACATCCGAAAACAATAAGTTCTTGATACAATTGAAAACACCCGAAAATGATGGATTTGACCTTGATGGGTTCTTCCACCGGGACACCCGGAATGTGCCCGGATTTGGCCAAAGTGGTTCTTGGAACTAAATTTGAGTTCCATTGAACCAAAAATTGAATTCTCATGTAATTTGATGTGTCGCATGATGGGTTTGACCCTAATCAGATGTTGGCCTCTTCCCCCGGGACACCCGTTATGTGTCCGGATGTGGCCAAAGTGGTTCTAGGAACTAGATTTGAGTTCCATTGAACCAGAAATTGAATTCTCATGTATTTTGATGTGTCGCATGATTGGTTTGATCCTAATCAGATGTTGGCCTCTTCCCCCGGGACACCCGGACAATGTCCGGATGTGGCCAAAGCGGTTCTAGGAGCTACATTTGAGTTTCATTGAATCAGAAATTGAATTCTCATGTAATTTGATGTGTCGCATGATGGGTTTGACCCTAATCAGATGTTGGCCTCTTCCCCCGGGACACCCGGAATGTGTCCGGATGTGGCCAAAGTGGTTCTAGGAACTAAATTTGAGTTTCATTGAACCAGAAATTGAATTCTCATGTAATTTGATGTGTCGCATGATCGGTTTGACCCTAATCAGATGTTGGCTTCTTCCCCGGGACACCCGGAATGTGTCTCGATGTGGCCAAAGTGGTTCTTGGAACTAGATTTGAGTTCCATTGAACTAGTAATTAAATTCTCATGTAATTTGATTTGTCACATGATGCGGTTGACCTAGCATGTAAGATATTATTGTTAGGTTAAGTTCTATTTAAAAAAAACATATATGTTAGTTATAAGAATAAGATAAATAAAGATTATTGATGAAGTCATGTTCATGCTTCAACTGTTTTTATTTTTATTAATTTAAAACCCATTGAAAAAGAAAATGGTGGTGAACAACCGTGAGCGCGCCGGGGCGCCTGGGGGCGGACAAAATGGCCGAAACGATCAGTTTTTTGACAGGTATCGTTTTCGCCTCAGGCGCCCAAATGTTGCAAATATGGTCGCCCCCGGCGCGCCGGCGACCAAAATTGGACCAAGCGGCGCCGCGAGGTTCGAGTCGCCCAAGTCCGCCCCGTCCGCCGAGCGGTCCGGGGGCGAGCCGTGGGCGACTAGCCCGCTGTATGTGGGCATGCTCCGTATACGTTGCGGAACTCGCAGCTATATTTTACGCAGTAGAGCGAATTGCCTCACTACCTTCTGACCATTATTTCATTTTTACGAATAGTCTTAGCTCATTGGAGGCTATTCGTTCAATGAGGCCGATGAAGCACTCCTCGTATTTCCTGCCTGAAATACGATCTAAACTGAGTGCTTTATCTAACTGCTCCTACACACTTAGATTTTTTTGCCGAGATGGGCACCACCGAGCGGCTCGGCATTTTATTTTGCTTGAAATTCAGCAAAAAATATGTTTGTTAGCCGAGATCTCGGCAAAATTCCGGTTTGTTAGCTGAATCTCGGCAAGTTTTCACTGAGATCCAGCAAAATAAAATGCCGAGCTGCTCGGTGGTGCCCATCTCGGCGAAAAAATCTAAGTGTGTATACTATCACCTTAGCTTGGGTCCCATCTCATTGCTCAATTCCGGGTAATGAGAAAGCGGACTCGTTGGCTAAGGTGGGCGCTATGGAAGGCGATATTTTTGAGCGACAAATCGCCTTCAACGAATTTTTCTCCATTGCTCGTCAGCAAGTCCTCATCAGTTGGCAACACAAATGGAATGATGGTGAATTGGGAAGATGGTTACATTCTATTCTCCCACAGGTGTCGAACAAACCATGGTTCAAAGGGTTGGACATGAGCCGCGACTTTATACGCGTTATATCAAGGCTTATGTCCAATCACTGCTCGTTAGACTCGCACTTCTATCGAATTGGGCTTTCAGGCAGCAATTTATGTCCGTGTGGCAGTGGTTATCACGATATCGAGCATGTTGTTTGGTCGTGTACCCTACACCGTGTTGCCAGATCTGATTTATCCACATCCCTCAGGGCCCGAGGAAAACAACCCGCGATACCCGTTAGAGATGTCTTGGCGAGCCGAGATCTCGACTATTTGAATTTAATTTATGTGTTTTTAAAACGGATAGATCTGAGGATTTAGTAGTTAGTGTCATCTTGTGTTCTCTCAAGTTGTTAGCTGCCCATCGGTGTACCCCCATGTTTGTCTTTTTCATCAGAGTGTCGCCTAGTTCGAGATCAAGAGCACATTGCTCTCCAAACCTTGTGTTCACAATCCCTACCCTGCCATTAATTTGTTACAATTTGTCACCCCTAACCTCGAGATAGCCGCGAGTAATCGGCCCCCGCTTTACTAACGTTAGTTTTAAGTAATTTTGTAATCTAATCAATGAATATTGGCTCCGCAAAGCTATAGCAAATAAGCCTGGAAAAATAAACGCATTATAATAAAAAAAAAAAAAAAAATTCACTTATTGATAGTCACAAAAATCTACTAAAATCATTTAAAAAATTATTGTTATTATCATTATTCATAATAATATCAAGCAGAAACTTGCTGAACAACACATATTTAATAGTTGGTATGACCACATGAATAAGGGGTTCAGTTCATTAACTACGTTGACAGTTTTTTTTTTTTGGGATTCTTACCACCCCCTCCCCCTGCGTAGACAATTGACCATACACAATGTTTAAGTACCCCCCTAAACAGTCCACATAGTTAATGAACAGCCCCTAAAAGTGAATTGATAGATGAAACATACAATAACAATGGTTTCATTGTCATGGATAAGCTTTTTATTGTGGCATCAAAATACGCATTGATTGAGTTAGTTCAAATAATCATGTGAACATGTGATGTGACATTCGAATTTAATCAACATGGATACACAGAAACTAGCATGGGAAACGCCTAAATGTATCTCAGGTGATCAACGATGATCAACCAATGATTTTTTGTGAATTTTGATTAAATTCGATTAAATCTCCGCAAATCTTTACGCAAATCGATGATTATTAATAATTATTTGATTATTTAGGTGCCACAATAATTTTTAACATGCTACAAATGAAACAATTTCCGATACATTTTTGTATAGCGTCCTTATTTTTAAGGACGAAGGAAAAGTAATATTTCCAGTTATTTCTCCTACGCACATGATGCAATTGATTCTTTTTTAGGCTCATATTGCGGAATTATAATGTGACATCCAAAACACGCATGATTTAGAATTCCTCGAATTCTTTCAGTTGCAGCCATGCGAATCTTAATGTGCTAATATTAATTTCCACTAGTGTATACTGCAGGCAACCGATTTATTTCATCCGATCAAAATTCAGCGCAGGCTCGCGACCTAGCTACTTGAAGAGTAACACCGGGATTATACCCAGGAACTAGTCCTAGAAGTTCAGTACCCTTACCATCCTTGTGGATCGTTATACCTATCAAGCATAGCATCGCCTGGTTCTCACTCACGTGACTCCGTGTGACTCAATCAGGTAGTGACAGCTACCCTTCGAACGAAATTAAATCGACACTTGTTCACACAGCGCAGGGGCTATCCACTTACCGCATTTGCTTGCACAATGATAGGAAGTTGCAAATTTTCAAATATTGTCATTTACTTTATCAACCGGTAGCCGCGAATTGATGGTCGCTATAAAAGATCCATTCCACTGGACAACAGTTGACAGTTGCGTTTCGGCGCTGTGGAAAGTGACCGTGATCAAGTAAATTAGTAGTAGTAATGAAGTGGAAGTGAACGGGGCAACAAAATGGGAAGTCACCTTATAGTAAACATTGTGGCCTCACTGATCTTAGTGAGTGCGGTCCGTGCCGCTAGCTACAAATTGCAGTTCAACAATGCCAACGTGGACGCCACGATCAATTCCGATTCCAGAGAACTAACCGTGCAGACGGATGGAAAAGTGGTACAGAGCATTCTGATGAGCCTTGACGTGGCGTCCATGGTGCATTACGAGGAAATCGCAAATGGATTTAAACTGAGCAATGCGGATGGGGAAGAGATCGAACTGGTGAGGGATGCTGATACGGTAGAGTTTTCGTTGTTCACAATCGCCAGAAAGGTTCGCCACCGGTTCAAGGTGGTGACGGATTGCGTTCGGATTACCGGATCGAATTGGTACGGTGGACCGCAGCAAAAGTATCAATACTGGCCGATTCAAAAGCTAAAGTTTAATGAGTATTCGATGTTGACGAAGGAAGCTGATAACTGCGCGGTGGCCGATCGGTATTGGTTGAACTCGCTGGGATCGTTTGTCTACGTGGACGATGAAACTCCGCTGTTTGTTGATCAAAACTACGGGCAGCCGGGATACATGTGCTTGGAGGCAAATAAGTCGTTGCCGTACGATATCTACGATAACACATATTCGTTCGTTTATCAGATCGGTGTAGCTAAGGATGCAAAGGAAGTGCACATGGCTGCGGTTCGGAACATTTTGGGCAAACCTTCGGGCCATCCAGCGGAAGCGATGGTGAAGTATCCGATTTGGTCAACCTGGGCTCGATACAAGCGAGATATCGATCAGCATGTGGTGTTGGAGTTTGCCAAAGAAATAGTAAATAACGGTTGGCCGAACAGTCAATTCGAACTGGACGACGATTGGGAGACGTGCTACGGAGCGTTGAAGTTCAACACTACCAAGTTCCCGAATATTAAACAGACAATCAGTGCTATCCGAGCGGTAGGATTCCCAAGAGTTACGATATGGATCCATCCGTTCATCAACAAGGGTTGCGAACCGGTGTACTCCGATGCGAAGCGAAAAGGGTATTTGGTAGCGGATCGTAATGGCAATACCGATACGGAGTGGTGGAACAGTAATACGGGGCAAGCAGCTTACGTGGATTTCACGAAACCGGAAGTCGCGAAATGGTTTTCCGAGCGATTGCAGGCAATTTTAACTGAAAGTGGAATCGATAGTTTCAAGTTTGATGCCGGTGAGACCAGCTGGACACCACCGGATCCTGTGCTCAACGGACCACGTTCCCACCAGCCGAATATGATCGTAGACGATTACGTACGAACGGTTGCGAAGTTTGGAGATTTGGTTGAAGTTCGATCGGCGCACCGCAGCCAAGATCTGCCGATTTTCGTCCGCATGATCGACAAAGATTCCGAGTGGAACTGGAACAACGGTCTACCAACGTTGATCACCACTCTGCTGCAGATGAACATGGTCGGATATCCGTTGGTTCTGCCGGATATGGTCGGGGGCAATGGGTACAACGATCATCCACCTAACAAGGAGATGTTTATCCGTTGGCTACAGGCCAACGTATTCATGCCAAGCATTCAGTTCTCCTATGTTCCTTGGGATTACGACGCCGAAACGGTGGAGATTTCGAAAACGATGACCAACCTGCACGAGAAGTACACTCCACAGATCATGGAACGATTTAAGCTGGCCGTTTCCGATGGATACCCGGTGAATCCACCGCTTTGGTGGATATCACCAAATGATACCGAGGCACAGAAAGTGTACGATCGTAAGTTGCTTGTCGAATCTTTTGAATGACGAGAAAAATCGAATAATTGTTGGATTTTTATTTTTTCCAGAATTTCTGTTGGGAGACAACATCATCTCCGCACCGGTAACGAAGGAAAACGTTCGGGCCAGAGATATCTACCTGCCACAGGGTGACTGGGTGGATGGCAACACTGGATCGACCCATACCGGCCCCAAATGGATTCGTAAATATTCCGTCCCACTGAAGACGCTTCCGTACTTTTTGCGGAAAGGTACGTAGGACGAATATGACCATATTGATCAGAAATGGAAGTGATGAATAAAATTAAATCAAAGCAAACAACAATTTGTGTAATTATTTATCTGCAACCGAAAAGATTGATAAGGTCGTCTACTGCTACGGGGGACCAAAACATGCATCTGCCACGAGAAGAATCGCTGATAAAGCTGATACAATTCATCTAAAGATAGATGACAGGGTCATAAGGTATAAAAGTACCGCAGACTTCAGCTGCTAGTGTCAGTCTGTTTTCAATATTTTCGACGGAAAGTTTTCCCTCTCTTTAGTGATGATTGGTTGAACATATAGTGACAAAATGGCAGAAAATTATACTGCTAGGACATTGACGGTTCTAGTGGTTCTGATGGTAGCTTCGGCGTACGCTACCAGCTATAAGGTGCACTTCCATGCGTCGAATACACTGGTGACGATTACCCCCGAAAGTCGGTCGCTGACGGTGGAACGGGATGGAAAAGTTGTTCAGAATGTCCTCATGGATCGTGATGTGCAATCGGTTAGCGAATTTGAAGAAACTGTGAGTGGATTCATGTTACGCAACAATCGTGGAGAGGAAATTGAAATCCTGAAGGATGTAGATCAACCGCATTTTTCCCTATTTACCATCGCCAGAAGAGTACGACATGCTCGGAAGAAGGTCGCGGACTGTGTCAAAATACGAGGCGCGAACTGGTTCGGGGGGCCAGAACAGAAAAACCAATACTGGCCAATTCAGAAGCTTCGCCTACGGGATTACTCCTACCTGTCCAAGCAGATCGACAGCTGCTCCGTAGCCGAACGCTATTGGTTGAACTCGCATGGTTCGTTTGTCTACGTAGACGAGGAAACTCCACTGTTCGTGGATCAAAACCATCGAAAACCGGGCTATATGTGTTTGGAAGCGAAGAAGTCCCTACCGTACGATACCTATGACGAAACGTACTCGTTCGTGTACCAAGTCGGAGTTGGCAACGATGCCAGAGAGGCACACATCGATGCAGTTAATACCATTTTGGGTAAACCTTCGGGCCATCCAGCGGAAGAGATGGTCAAGTATCCGATTTGGTCTACCTGGGCCCGTTTCAAGAGAGATATCAACGAGACTGTCGTCTTGGGGCACGCTGATGACATCATCGCAAATGGCTGGACAGACTCGCAGTTTGAAATAGACGACCTCTGGGAGACATGCTACGGATCACTGACATTCAACACGACAAAATTCCCGAACATCAAACAAACAGTCGCCGACATCAAAGCTAAAGGTTTCCCCAGGGTCACACTCTGGATTCACCCGTTCATCAACAAGGTATGCGAGCCATTTTACTCAGAAGCAAAGCAGAAAGGATATTTGATTACCGATAACAACGGCAGCACCGATACGTGGTGGTGGAACAGTGGACTAAATGAAGCTGCATCCGTAGATTTTACAAACCCGGAAGCAGCGGAATGGTTCTCTCGACGACTGCGTCTAATTCAGGAGCAGTCCGGAATTGACAGTTTCAAATTCGACGCTGGTGAAACCGACTGGATACCAACAGATCCTGTTCTCAACGGACCTCGCTCCAAACATCCAACTCTGTTCACCATCGACTATCTACGAACTGTGGCCAAGTTCGGTGACTTGATCGAGATTCGTTCAGCTCACCGTACTCAGGATCTTCCTGTATTCGTCCGTATGATTGATAAGGATACCGAATGGCATGGTAACAATGGCTTGCCAACGTTGATCACTACTCTGCTGCAGATGAACATGGTAGGTTATCCCTTAGTTCTACCTGATATGATCGGAGGCAACGGATACGATCCTGGCGTAGCCGATGGTAATAATCCACCGAGCAAGGAGATGTTCATCCGTTGGCTTCAGGCCAACGTGTTCATGCCGAGTATTCAGTTTTCGTATGTTCCGTTCGGATACGACGAGGAAACGGTTCACATATCGAAGAAGATGACCGACCTGCACGAGAAGTACACCCCGTTGATTATGGAGCGTTTCAGGCTGGCTGTTTCCAACGGTTATCCAGTCAATCCACCCATATGGTGGGTATCCCCGGATGACACGGTAGCTCAGGCGGTCGATGATCGTAAGTTGGTTTGCTATTCAAGCTAATTGTGGCAATCGATGAAATATGTTAATTCTTTCAGAATTCCTCCTGGGTGATGATGTGATTGCGGCACCGGTTATCAAGGAAAATGCTCGTTCCAGGGATATTTACCTTCCGGAAGGAGAATGGGTCGACGGAAACCTGGACGATCTCCATGTTGGGCCGATGTGGCTTCGGGATTATGAGGTTCCACTGAGCATGCTGCCATATTTTGTAAGGAAGGCTATGTACCAGAGTATGCAATAAATCAGACAGCGAACAAACGATGAGTACAAATCGTTATCAGTGGGGGTTTGTAATTGATTAAATTTCCGATAAAGAACACCGGTTTCATTGTCATATTGCAGTGATGGTGTTTTTTCCATGGTTCAACGACATGATAGGCTCCAAATTGTGTTATGTCTGAGATGCTCAGTTAGATATTTGTTTACAATGGTTCCGAATGGTGATGTTGCACTGATGTCTTCATCAACAAGCATTTCAAGCATATATGTCAGTGTGATGTAGCTCCACAAGATTTATGAGTATTATGCAAGCCGCTGCTAAGAAGTAACAACCCAACTTACAATTTCAGCTGCAGATTTGCTTTTACAGGCAAAAATTGGCTTACCCACTTTTTTTGTTGAGTGCTCGGCAATACATTTTACTGATATGACGATTGTTTGCTGAGATTCAGCAAACGATATTCCGAGACTCAGGAATCAAACGTCATATTTGCTGAGATCCTGGCAAAATATGTTTGCCGGGGGCTCGGTTGTGCAAATCTCGACAAAATTGTCGAGATTCGGCAAACAAAACTAAATGTGTATACAGCCTGTATAAGCTAGTCTGCAGCTAAAATTGTTTGTTGGGAACAAGGAGAGCGATACATCTAAATCTCAATTCAACATGCTCAAAAAATCTCACACTAGCGAATCAATCTTCGAAAAATCTTGTTTCATTTGTCACATCTACTTGCATCACGCATCATCTTTTTGCAGGAAATCTTCAGAATCGTCATCAATCTTCTTTCTATCTACTTGACGTGCACGCAGCTAGCCACAGCAAAACACAATGTTTCCTGCATCGTACACACTTAGATTTTTTCGCCGAGATGGGCACCACCGAGCAGCTCGGCATTTTATTTTGCTGGATCTCAGTGAAAAACTTGCCGACATTCAGCTAACAAACGGGAATTTTGCCGAGATCTCAGCTAACAAACATATTTTTTGCTGAATTTCCAGCAAAATAAAATGCCGAGCTGCTCGGTGGTGCCCATCTCGGCAAAAAAATCTAAGTGTGTAGATAGACTCGCCCCCCTCGGTAGGGAACGGATATATTTTTTTCAAAATCCTGGATCAAGATTAGTCTCTAAAATACTAAAATTTCGTCAATTTTCAATTCAATTCCCATGCCATGGCAATTTTCTCAAGGTTTTGCTCTGTGCATGGAGAACTCCGCACTTGAAAGTGTCGTATCTCCGTAACCTCTCAATGAGATTGAATTCCGTGTTCCACAGCGCAACCTGCAGATTATTGTGACTGAGTTCGTCGATAACTTTTTCGTACTTCTTGTAGGTATTGCTCGTAGCAGAGAAAGACAGGATTGATTTAAACGAAGTTTATTACTGTAAACACAGCTTGATGGTTGGATTAGAACTAATTAGAACTAGGTGAAAATTCACTATTTATACCCTCCTAGTTGTTTATTGGTTACCATGGAGTCCTTGGTTATATACTTGCTGCCATGGTATCCTTTTGTTATTTACCTACACACTTAGATTTTTTCGCCGAGATGGGCACCACCGAACAGCTCGGCATTTTATTTTGCTGGATCTCAGTGAAAAACTTGCCGAGATTCAGCTAACAAACAAGAAGTTTGCCGATATCTCAGCTAACAAACATATTTTTTGCTGAATTTCCAGCAAAATAAAATGCCGAGCTGCTCGGTGGTGCCCATCTCGGCAAAAAAATCTAAGTGTGTAGGTTGTTTATCCGTTGCCACGGCAATCTTCAAACAAACGGACCTGGCTTCGGCGTATCCTCGGCTACTTTGTTTCACACTCCCTCTCAATCCGACATTCCTAGGTAAGACGTCAGTTGTTGGAACCGGGTGGCTTCCATAGGTTTTGGAAAGGTCACGGGTTCCAATCGGCTCGATGTTCAGTGTACCACTCTCCACCAGATCTCGTATGAAATGATGTTTCACGTCAATGTGCTTGGTCCTCTTGCTTTCTAGATTTTTGGCCATGCCGATGCATCCTCGGTTGTCTTCATAGATTGTCACTGGATTGGCAATTACTTGAAGGTCGTTCAAAATGCCGCTGATCCATACGGCCTCTGCTGCAGCTGCACTAAGAGCGACGTACTCAGCTTCACTTGACGACAATGATACGGTGGATTGTTTCTTGCTACTCCAGGATACGGTGCATCCATAGACCTTGAAAATGAAGCCGCTCACAGATTTTCGGTCATGAAGGTCGGCCGCCCAATCGGCATCGGCATAGCCTATGAGCGGTACTGATTCACTGTTCCTCTGGTATTCGAGACTCAGGTTTTTTGTCCCGCTAAGATACCGCACCACTCGCTTCAATGCATTCCAATGTACGGTTGATGAATCCTGCTGGAATCACCCGAGATAACCGACAGGCTAACATACATCTGGCCTGACACAGAGCATAATGTACATCAAGCTGCCAAGCAATTCGCGATATGGTTCTTCAGCGCTAGGCCCACCTCGAGGTAGTTGTAGACCTTTTTCCATTGGAGTCTTATCGGATTGCATTCACCCATTCCAAAACGATCCAGTACCTTTGTAACGTTGGATTCCTGTGACAGTCGCAAAGATCCACCATTACGGTTGTAATTGATCCGTATACCAAGAAAGTGTCGCGATTCTCCGCAATCGGTCATCTCAAAAACAGTAGATAGCTTCTTTTTTAGCTTGTTGATGGTGTCCAAATTTCTTCCCGCAATCAGAAGATCATCGACGTACAGGATGATATAAAGCTCATCATTCTCCTCGTACCTGACGTACAAGCAGTAGTCTCTCTTCGATCGTACGAAACCCAGTTTCTCGATCTGGCTAGTGAACTTCTGATTCCAACACCGTGGTGACTGCTTAAGTCCGTAAAGCGACTTTTGCAGCTTCACGCCATCCCTGGTGCTGACTTCGTACCGTCTGGAGGACAAATGAAAATTGATTCCTTTAGCTCGCCGTGACGAAAGGCCGTCTTTACATCCATCTGGTGAAAGAAGAAGCCCTCGTGAACACCAACCGCAAGGATGATTCTAACCGTCGCAAGCTTGGCCACTGGAGCGTACGTCTCTTCGTAGTTCAGTCCAGGTTTCTGCAGAAAACCCTTCGCGACAAGTCGGGCCTTGTACCGTACTATCCGTCCGGCCTCGTCCTCCTTAATCCGGAAAACCCACTTGGTTTTTAATGGCTTCACGTTAGCGGGGCATGGTACCATCTTCCACACCTGATTTTTCTCCATTGACTGCAACTCGTCTTGAATGGCTTGCAACCACTCGTCTCGGTCTTCCCGAACTAGCACATGCTTGTAGGTTTAAGCAACATCTAATGTGAAGGAAAACGCAGCAGGGGTTGCTTGGAAACCAGTAATATAATCGAGCAACTTACCCGGAAACTTGCGCTCCCGTTCGCTACGCCTTGACGATTCTGCATGAGTTTCGTCACTATTTATTTGCGAAGGGAGCGCAGCGACTGTTGCTTCATCTGATATGTTGTCCTCTGGATCTTGGATATGTTGTCCATCGTTGTCCAAATCTGATTCTTCATCAGCAGGTTCGTCTTCGGGTTCAGCTGCTCCCCCTCTTGCTCGTACGAAGGTAAAACGACTAACGGCTTCTTCTCTTTTCTAGGCTCAGAAGCGTACGGGAAACAGGTCTCGTCGAAACGAACGTCACGAGCAATCACTACCTTCCTGCTTTTTCTATTCCATATGCGGTATCCATTGGTTGCATAGCCGATCATGAGGACTTCTTGACTTTTAGCATCCAACTTTTTTCGGAGTTGCGTAGGGATCCATGCATACGCCTTGCATCCAAAAACACGAAGCTTCGACATGTCCGGCTTGGATCCCATCCAATATTCGGCCGATGTTACTCCTTCCAGCAACGCTGCGGATGGACTGCGGTTGATCAAATACACCGCTGTAAGAGCTGCTTCATTTCACATCTGCTTCGGCATTGACGAATCAAGCAACATGGTCCTCACTTTTTCCACAAGCGTTCTGTTGAAACGCTCAGCCACACCATTTTGTTGAGGCGTGTAAGCGACAGTTGCCTCAACCTGAATACCTTTCTTTTTGTAGTAGGCTTTCTGTGCCGTTGATCCATATTCCCGACCTTGATCCACGGTCAGTTTCGAAATCCGCGTGCCGAAATGAGCGGTTACCAGTGCTTCGTACTCCTGGAATTTTTCGAAGACCTCTGACTTCCGTTTCATGAGGTGAATCATAGCAAAGTGCGTTTTGTCGTCGATAAATGACACAAAATATTTCAATCCGTCCCAGGCTGGTGGTTCGATTTGACCGCATACGTCCGAGTGAATCCGCTCGAGGGGTCGCTTTGCTCGGGTTCGTGTTCCATCGAACGGGTCTCGACACTGTTTGCCTTGAGCACAGGCATCGCAGAACCGATTTAGTCCAGGCTTGAAATCCACACCAGTGGCCAGCTCCTTTTGAACGATTTTGGCCATTCCACCTTGGCCAAGATGTCCTAAGCGACGATGCCAAAGTTCGTTGCGATCCACCTGGCAAACGTTAGCAACTGGATCACTCACCTTAATATCGAGCTCGTATAAGTTCCCCTTCATTGGTGCAGTAGCGATAACATCGCCATCCTTTTTCAGTACAGCTTTATTCTTGAGAAACAGCACTTCGACACCGACGGCCGCAAGTTTCTTCACTGACAACAGGTTTTCGCGGAGATCCGGCACGTAGAGAACATTCCTCACTTTCAGAAGCACGCCGTGGTTACTGTAGCCATTGATTTCGCCTTCGTCCTTTGCTACTAGGTTTTCACCATCCTTCGCCACATTGATCACCACCGGGGTCGGGAGTCTTTCAGTCGAGTCGAAAAACGTTTTTACATTGACCAAATGATCACTCGCCCCAGAGTCCAATTTGAAATTAATTGTGTTACCGTGTTACTAAATCTTTGTTTGGGGACTACTTTTGTCCATCTCCAGGCTTTGTCTGGAGATTCAGGGTCGTTTGAAGGGCTCCAGGAAGAAATTGGTGGAAATACTTCCCTTTTAAAAAA